AAAACACGCATGGTTCTGAGGCTAGGTCAAAAGGTAATGCACTAAACTGGTACACAACCCCCCCCAATGGACAAATCCAAGACATGTACACGAATGCTCTGCCACAGGAATGTGTAGGTAAGCATTAGAAACATTCACCTTGGTCATCCAAAGTCCTGGAGAAAATGCCCACCAAAGAGAAAGGTATGTCTCCGTGGTAAAGTGAGGAGTATGAACATACTGATTGAGATGGGATAAATCTATGACAGGATGCCAGTCCCTGGTCTTCTTGGGAACCACAAAATGGTGGGAGTAAAACCCCCCATAAACCTGGTGGAACTGGTTCCATAGCTAGTTGTGCAATGAGGTCCTGAACTGCTTCTGACAGACACTGGTATGTTGATGGATCCAGAGGAGAAGGGAAGGTAATGGAAACATGGATAAGGAAGAGAGAAAAAGGGGGAAAACATATCCCTCTGAGAGCAGTCTGTGAGCCCAGACATCAGCAAGAAAAGGTCCCCATTGAGGAAATAAATTCAAGAGACAAGCCCCTACCGGGCCCAAACCAACCATGTAGTCACCTATACTGCTGTAGGTGGATCGTGCATCATTGAGTAAAACATCAAACCATAGTACTGCAGGAGGGTGGGAAAGGAATAGGTTGGAAAGTGGAAGTGTTGGGGACAGGAACTGGTGCTGCACTTGGACCCTACTGTGACAAACAAGCTACCAAGTTAGTAAGGGTAAAATGTTGATCGGCCGAGGCCACCCGTGACTCCAAAGACTCAGGAATCGATTCAAACACATAACGCTGCAAAAACAGCACCATACGGAGATCCCTCAGATAAGGAGCCTGGAAATGGGTCCGCACCAAAACCCCGTCACAGCCAAAGAGGTTCCAACAACAAACAAATTACATTGGATAAGTGGGACAGGGTAATCTGGGTTTTTCCCCCCCAAACAGGTAGAACCGATACCCCAACAACTGTTGGTCGAGAAAGTGAAAGTCTGCCTGATGATAAACAAGGGGATGAGGGAAAGACTAAATAGAGTTGGGAAATTGTTTCATGTAAAAGGGAAGGTCTAGGGTCCTAGGAAACACGTGTAAGAGACAAAACATCACATATCTGAGAGATAAAGTCTGAAAAGACCGATGACGGATGAGCTGAATCATCAAGTAGTAAACGTGTGGGGGGGGGAGTACAAATGATCAAAATCGTCATCAGCCTGTCCCTCGGCTCAGGATGAAGTGAGGCAAAAGTAGGCGAGAGAGGTTGGCTCATATACTGCTCAATCTTTTGGCAAATGAGCAACGATATATCGCTCACACCCATGACTGAAAATATGGCATCAGACACTGGGGAAGTACCCAAAGTGATGACTATCTTCAGAATTCATAAATGGGAAAATGTGGCAAACATGAGGAAGTATGCTTTAATAAAAATATTAACTCTACAACTGTGAAGTGTAGTAAACAAAGTTAAGAAAAATATAAAAAATTAAAAAGGTAACTGAACAATGTAAAAACGAATGTCTGAACTCAACAGCTGCCAAACGAGAAGTGATAGTTTGGTAGTGGTGCATAGAGGGAATCGCATGCATCATGTGATAAGAGTGCTCTCCTATTGGTGGAGAGGTGACGTATGATGATTTGCATGAGAGATATGTTGGAACTTTGGATTCCAACAAAGGAATGATAAAGGCTTGTGGCATGCGTTTCTGAAAAAGTTTGCACATATAGAGGGCAGCACAAAACAAGAAAAGCTTATCTTGTGAGAGGAGTGAAGAGTACCTTATCAGAAAATAAATTACTACAATAACAGTTTTCTTTTTAAAAGTGGTCATTCTAAACATAAATATAATTGCTTTCCATATACACTGATTGGTCACAAGTAAATAGACACCTAATTTTCGTCATTTAACTGATTTATGCTTAACTAATTTGTGTTCACAGAGCACTATATAAATTAAAAT